TTAGCATACGCAAATCAATAAATGTAATACACCACATCAACAGAGCCAAAAACAAAAACCACGTGGTCATCTCAATAAATGCAGAAAAAGCTTTTGATAAAATCCAATACATGTTCATGATAAAAAAAAAAGCCCTTCAGAAACTCGGAATACATGGTGTATACCTCAATCTTATAAAGGCCATCTATGACAAACCAACAGCCAACATGATACTATATGGACAAAAACTGAAAGCTTTCTCTTTAGTATTAGGAACAAGACAAGGACGTCCACTATCACCACTCCTATTTAACACAGTTCTGGAAACACTAGCCAGGGCAATTAGACGAGAGAGAGAAATAAAAGGAATAAAGATAGGAAAGAAAGAAGTTAAATTATCACTATTTGTAGATGACTTGATACTCTATATAGAAGACCCAAAACACTCCATTAAAAGACTACTAGAGGTAATAAATTCAGCAATGTAGCTGAATACAAAATCAGTGCTCAAAAATCAATAGCATTCCTGTACACAAACAAAAAACTCACTGAGAGAGAAATTATGGAAATATCACCCTTCATAATAACATCTAAAAAAATGAAATACTTAGGAATCAACCTAAGAATGTAAAAGATCTATATGCTGAAAATTATGCCTCACTAAAAAAGGAAATTAAAGAGGATATTAAAAAATGGAAGGATATTCCTTGTTCTTGGCTAGGAAGAACTAACATTGTGAAAATGGCCGTACTCCCAAAACTGTTACACAGATTTAACGCAACCCCAATCAAAATACCATTAACATACCTTGCAGATCTAAAGAAAACACTCCTAAAATTCATTTGGAAACAGAAGAAACCTAGAATAACAAAGGCAATTATGGGCAATAAAGGCAAGGCATGAGGCTTCTCAACTCCTGACTTGAAACTATACCACAAAGCCATAGTGATAAAATCATCAAGGTGCTGGCAAATAAACAAACCTGAGGATCAACAGAACAGATTAGAAGATGCAAGCACAGCAACAAAGACACTCAGCCACCTGGTATTTGACAAAGGGGCTAAACATGTTCACTGGAAGAATGATAGCCTCTTTAATAAATAATGTTGGAAAAACTGGCTCTCCACATGCCGAAGACTGAAACTAAATCCATGACTATCACCATGCACTAAACTAAAGTCTAAAGGATCAAAGACCTAAATATTAAAACAGAAAACAAATCTACTGGAAGACAAGGTAGGGGGAAGTCTTGGAGACATAGCGGTAGGCAGAGAATTCATGAACAAAATGCACACTGCACAGGAAACACTTCAAAGAATCAACAACTGGGATCTCATATTATTGAAAAGCTTCTGCACTTCAAAAGAAATCACCAACAGAGTGAAAAGAAAATCCAGAGAATGGGAAATAATTTTAGCCAGCAACCCCTCAGACAAAGGACTTATATCCAGAACATATAAAGAATTGAAAAACATCAAGCCCCCAAATTCAAAGATGCTCTCCAAAAATGGGCATCTAAGATGGGCATCTAACACACAGTTCTCAGATGAAGATATACAAATGGCAAATAAATACATGGAGTGTTCACCATCACTCATCATTCAAGAAATGCAAATTAAAACAGCATTTAGATTTCATCTCACTCCAGAAAGAATAGCTGCCATCAAGAAATCAACTGATAACAAATGTTGGTGAGGCTGTGGGGGGAAAAAGGAACACTGCTCCACTGTTGTTGGAAATGTAGACTGGTGCAACCACTATGGAAATTAGTATGGAGAATTCTCAGAAGACTAGGATTGGAAGTTCTAGTCAATCCAGCTATTCCCCTTCTGGGTACTTTTTCCAGAAAAACTGAAAAGGTCATATCACAGTAATAAATATGCACCCATGTTCATAGCAGTACAATTTATAATAGCTAAATCTTGGAAACAACCAAGATGCCCATCAACCGCAGACTGGATGAAAAAGATGAAGTATTTCTTTTTTTTTTTTTTTTTAATTTTAAGGAGAAAAAGAAAAAAAAAACAGAAGGGTATAAGTTATACAGAGTTTCAGAAAAAATAAACAGTAGGAAATCACTAGTTAATAGATTACATATTGTCATCTTAGAAATCATTGTTCAGGGGCTGGGGATTTAGCTCAAGAGCATAAGCACCTGCCTTGCAAGCAGACGGTCATGAGTTTGATCCCCAGTATCGGTTAAAAAAAAATCCTAAAGGAAAAATTATATTTTAGGGACTGGGGATTTAGCTCAGTGGCATAAGCGCCTGCCTTGCAAGCAGACAGTCGTGAGGTCAATTCCCGGTACCTATAAAAAGGAAAAAGACCAAAAAAAGAAAAAAGAAAAAAGAAATCGTTCAAGTTACAAAATTAAAGCATATAAAGTGGACTTTCAAACAGGGAGACTGCAAACAGTTCTGTTCAATGATCTAACAAAACTCAGTAATATGGTTATCTATCTTACACACTTAAATATACATGCAGTTATACCCTTTAGAGCACTTTCTTTTCCTCTCATTTGTACAATGATAATTACACATTTTGGGTTTTATTACTCCCACAGTTCTTAATACTTTTTTTTGAAGAGAGTAAAACCAAATGTGAGATAGCAGAACAGAGTCAGTCAAATCAAAAGGAGGGACATAATACATAATGTAAAAACAGAATACAAGGTGATCAACAATGGTTACCATACTGCCTCTTGCTATCTTAAAAAGAATTGCCTATATCATCAGTTATAATAAAATTGAATAAAACAGTAAAGAACAAAACCAATAAAACCAAAACACTGGAGACATTACAGGACTTCATAAGAAGATAAGAGTTAACCAGAATGGGTGTCATAATGAATCTTATTGTCTTCACAGTTGTTGCCTATACTTTCGAACTTGGTACTATCAAGCAAAACAGAATAGAGGAAAATCAGTCAAAACAAGATGATGAGAGCAATACAGGGTTTCAAATCAAGTTAATAGGAAATTAAAGTGGGTTACTATAATATATCCTGCTATTTTTTATTTTTCCCTTAATTAAAAAGATATAAAAGTAAGTAATAAAAAAAGGAGATTGAGATAAAAGAGGGCGTAACAACAAAACAGCACAGGTCAAAACATGACCATTTAAGCAAAACAGTGTTTCACCACAAGATATCCCAACATAGAAGTAGTTACCATAGTGTCTCTTTCCTTGAAATATTTGAGTATAACTTCGTATACTATGGCATCAAACCTATCAAGACAATGTAAAACCATTCAAGAGAATGACAGTATTACAGGGTATTTAGAATCAACTAACAGAAAATGAACAATGGTTTCTGTACTCTCCTTGTCTATAAAAGTTTTTGTTTATATTATCACATATAATAAAATCCAGTAAGACACAACATGTTAAGACCATTGGAGACAGAAGAACAAAAGCTTGATGAGACTTCAAAACAAGATGATATTAAATCTGCACTAGCTATTATGATGTCTTGTTTTCTCCAAAATAGCTGTTCCTACCATCTAGCCTTCTCTGCCTCATTTCTGTTGAGCTCTTTTTCTGTCATCAGTTGTCAGTTTGTCTTCTTCATTTCGCTTTCTGCTCCATTCATTTTGGCCTCTCTGCCACTGTTTCTGGAATTTTGGTATTTTTATTTTTTAGAATATCCTGCAGTATTCTCTGTAGAGTTGAATTGGTGGTTGCAAAGTCCCCTAGTTCCTCTTTATCCTGGAAGTACCTTGTTTTTCCATCAATTTCTAGGGACAGTTGTGTAGGATATATCTATCTTGGCTGAAGGTTATTATCTTTCAAAGCTTCAATTATTTCCCTCCATGCTCTTCGTGATTTGATGGTTTGTGCTAAGAAGTCTGCTGTAATTCTGATGGGTGTTCCTTTATAAGTGATCTGTTTCTTGTCTCTGACAGCCTTTTCTGTTCTTATATTGGATTTCTGGAATTTTGATTATTATATGCCTGGGTGTAGCTCTGTTTGGGTTGTAGGTGGCTGGGGTCCTGTATGCCTCATACATCTAAGTATCTTTACCTTTTGCTAAATTAGGGAAATTCTCCTGGATTATTTCTGTGAATAGCCTTTGTAGTTCATTTGTTTGCGTCCCTATGTTCTCAATTCTTAAGTTATATATCCTCTTATCATCTTCTAGCCTTTGTATTATTGCTGTTTTGTTATTTTTTTTTTTTCATTTCATGCTCCCACATTACAAATCTGCCCTCCAGTTTAGATAATCTATCCTTAGTTTCTTTCAAGCTGTTATGCCAGCTTTCAATAGAGCTTTTAGTTTCCTGGTAATCTCTTTGAACCTGCTTCACATATTCTATGTTTTCTCTATTTTCTCCATCAAGCAATTCTCCCTTTTTTCTATTTTTCCATTCCACCATCTGTTTTTTCTTGGGTGGTGCTTAGCATTTCTCTAACTATTCTACTTATATCTTGCTTTATTTCATTAAATACTTCACTTTTGAACTTGTCTATGAGGCTCCAGATATATCGTTTTATGTCTATTGGTGCCATGCCTGATATTGCATGTTTTCTGTCTTCATTCTCCTTTGCATTTACCTTTCCTGGATCAGTGTTCTCAGGATTGGGGACTGAGGACCCTTTCTTGTTGCTCCCTCTTCCCATACTTTTTGTTCCTTCCATACAAGCGTATATAGGAGGCCCAGTTTCTTTCTTTGTTGGTTACAGTTTGTTTGAATTTGCCGGCTAGGTGTTCCTGCCCACTGCAGTGTACTAGGGAGACACAGACCTGGGCAGCCTCTGCTGGGCCGGCCCCTCCAGGTCAACCTAGTGAAGGCTCCACTGCTAGGGTGCACCGCCAGGAGCTAGGACCTGGTTTGGGCTAGCCTACTGGGTCTTAGTCAGCGGCATCACCCAGGACAAGTGCTCCGCACCAATCCAGCTTGAGAGGGGAATATGCAACTAAAGTCACTGCAGCATCCTGTTCCGGCTTGTCTGCCCAGTCGCAGACTGTTCTCTTTTGGAGCCTCCTAGTCTATGGAAGGGTCCCTGTTCCTCTCACTCACCGCAGGTCGATGCAGGGCTCCCCGCCAGTCCAGCTCTCAACTCTGTTCGCTGATTCCCGCTCTCAGAGGTTTCGCGTCTCTCACCCTGCTGTGCTGATTGGGACACAGCAATGGCAGCAGGAAATTCAAATCGCGATTTCCAGAGGCACGGGTTCTAGCTTCTGTGTGGAGATTTTATCTGTTCCGGTTATAGCACCAGGATTGCATTTCCAGTTGGATTTCTCAGCTTAGTTCATTCTTGGGTTGGCAGGGTATATCTCCCCTTGCTTAGGACTCCTCACACCGCACCATTCCTGGATTCTAAGCTGGGTATCTCAGAGAGCCTCTGTAGCTGCTGTTATCTATCTGCCATGTTCTCCCTGATGCAGTATTTCTTAAGTAATGGAATATTACTCAGCTATAAAATGACGATCTTAAGACCTTCATAGGGAAATGGAGACAACTTGAGATTATCTTTATTAGTCAAATAAATAAGAATCACATTTATAAATATCACATTGTATCTTTAGTGTAAAAAGCAGCAAGAAATGTAGGAGTAGTAAAACCCAAAATGTGTAATTACTATTGTAAATTAGAGAGGAAAAGAAAGTGCTCTAAAGGATATAATTGCATATATGTTTAAGTGTGTAGGATTGATAACCATACTACTAAGTTTTTGTTGGATTATTGAACAGAACTGTTTGCAGTCTCGCTATTTGAATGTCCACTTTGTATGCTTTACTTTTATAACTTGAACAACTATTTCTAAGAGGACAATATGTAATTTATCAACTATGATCTGTTTAGTTTTTTGAAATTATGTATTATTTCTACTTTGTTTTTCTCTTTAAATTTTTAAAAAAATAAAACAAAAAAATTGTACTAAATGTCACATGCATTACTAATCTGCTACCTTCTATTGTCAGAGAACCTATATTCCTTTAAAATCTCTTCCTATCTTTCGTTTCCACATTAAATACCCACAGGGGCCCAGGAGGTGCTAAGTTTTAAGTCCCAACTTATTGGCTGAAATGTTGAAAAGGAAATTTTTAAATCTGGTAATTTTTTTTATCTTTATACTGTAATACTACTGTGAGAACAAGAAAAAGCCAACCCCTTCCTGTGAGCCAGAAGCAGCCATGCATCACAGGAAGAGAACCAAGAAGCTAACTCCTTCCTATGAGTCACTGGTGGTCATGTGCCAGGCCAGTCCCTTCCTGTGAGCCAGCAGCAGCCATGTGTTCTGGGAAGAGAACCAAGAAGAAGCCGACCCCTTCCTGTGAGCCAGGAGCAATCATGGGCTGGGTCAACCCCTACCTGTGAGCAGCCCTGCATTTTGGGAAGATAACCAAGCAGCAGCTAACCCCTCCTGTGCACCAGCAGCAGTTGTGGGCCAGGCCAACCCCTTCCTGTAAGCCAGTGTACAAGTTGGAGACAAAAAGTGCTGAGCCCCACCCACTATAATCAACTAGCTGATTCAGACAGACCTGAGATGATAGCCACTGAAGTAAAAAAACCAACTTAATGCCTGTATTGTCTGACCTACTTTACAAGCCTAAAGCCAATGGTCTGAGCATCTATTTAGAGCATCTATTTACAATATACAATATAGTAACTACGGGGGGAATTTCCTCTGAAGGTAGTAGACATTGTTAATTACCTATTGTCTTATTTTAGAGTACTATTACTCTATTATTTTCATTGTTTTGATTGGTTTTATTCCATTTTTTGTTTGACTTTAAAACTGATGACAGAAGCTGCTATTTCAGAGATAACAAGATATATTATAGTAGCCATTGTTGATTACCTATTATCTTATTTTGAAATCCTGTATAGTTTTCATTGCTTTGTTTTGATTGGTTTTATTCTGTTCTGTTTTGTTTGATTTTATAATATCTGAAGATATGGTAGTCATTACTGATTTCCTGTTATCTTGTTTTGAATCCTGTATCACTTTCACTGTTTTGTTTTGAGTAACTTTATTCAATTTTGTTTGGTTTTATTCTCCTTAAAATAAAATTGAATTTAAAAATAGCCAATATATGAAAAAGTTGGTCAATGTCATTACTGTCAAGGAAATGCAAATCAAAACTGTAATGAGATATTATCTCACCCCAGCTGGAATGGTTATTATGAAATATAAATGCCAGTATGAGAAAAAGATATACTGCTCACAGGAGTATGACTTACTACAGACACTATGGGAAACAGCATGGCAATTTCTCAAAACATAAAAACAGAACTACCATCTGATCTAGCTATTCCACTTTTGGGTATACAGTATGTCCAAATAAAATAAAGTCAACATACAAAAGAGAGATTTTTTTATTGTACTACTAGTCAAAATAGCTAATGTATGTAATCAACATTAAGTGCCCCTCAATAGATGAATGGATACAATATGAGATATACATGAGGGAATGTTATTCAACCATAAAAAGAATGAACTCCTGATATTTGCAGCAAAATGCATGTAACTGAAGGACATTGTATTAAATAAAATAAGCTAGACACAGAAAAGACAATTTTTCCATGTTCTCTCATGTAGATAGTGATTAATTAGTAGCAACTGGGGAAGGTGGGGAGGATAGATATGATCAATGCACACTAAAAGCATGTACGGAATTATCACAGTGAATCCCATTAAAATGTACAATTAGTATGTATAATATGTATCTATAACATTTTCTTTGGATTCTCCTGCCCTCTTGGTAAGTGCTCCTGGTGTGGGCCAGGAGGAGAATCAGCGCTCCCAAGATCTGGCCATGGTAGAACTTAGGCAGCTTATTCGCCTGGCCTCTTGGTAAGCGCCCCTGGCGCAGACCAGGAGGAGAACTAGGGCTCCAGAGACTCGGCCATGGTGGAACTTAGGCAGCTTATTCGCCTACCCTCTTGGTAAGCATCCCTGGCATGGGCCAGGAGGAGAACCAGTGGCTCCCATGAGCCTACCAGCACGCAGGCTAAGAATCAATCAAACACACACACACACACACACACACACACACACACACACACACAGACACAGGTAGCAGCTGGGGATAGATGTCTCAGCATCTCTTGGGAGGATGACCATATGCAAAATAGAAAATATGGAGGATTTCCTTTATCTTCTGTTTAAGCATAGGTTGTTTTCAGTGTTTTGTTTTATTATGTTTGTTCTGCTCTATTCAATACTCTCTTTCAATTGGTTTTATAAGGTTGTGTTTACTTTGATTTCGCTATACCTAATTGACTGGACAACTATTGTGACGACAATGAGACACTATAGTACCTATTACTACTATCCCAATATCCTGCTGTCATGGGTTATGTCTGTGTCCCCCAGGCCTCATGAGTTTGAATTGTGCATTTGTTATTCGTTCATTGTCTAGTGCTTGGATTAATGGTGTCAGTGCTCCACCCACAAAAGGGTGGAGCCAGGATGTGATGTAATGGCAGGAAGAAGGTATGTCTTGCTCTTTGCTGGTTCCGGCTTGCTGTTTACAGCAGCTATGAACTGCGGTCCAGCCATGCCTGCCCGCCTTGGAGCCAACTGAGTGTGGACTGAAACCTCCAAAAACTGTAAGAAATAAACCTTTCCTTTCCCAACTTGGGTATCAGGTATTTTGTCTCAGCGACGAGCATAAAGTAACTAAGACACCTGCTGTGAAGTTCTGTACCAATTTCACTGCATTGTCTCAACTGGCTTTGTTCTATTCTTGTTTTGTTGTATTTTTACTACCTTCAAAATAAAATTAAAAAAAATAAAAAATGAGAAAAAATGTTTTTCTTTAAAAACTAATTAAAAGAACAATGACATCAAAGCAGACTTATCAAAGCAAAGCAGACCTATGGAACAGAGGTGAAAGTCTTGGAGGAAGAATACATGGGTAAGAATTTAGTATGTGATTTAAAAAGCATTTGAGGAACCAGGATGGAAGCCATCCCCACCCAACCCCCATCCCCCCATGAGCCAGCCAGCCAGGAGAGAACAATTCCCCCAACTCTAGCACCCAGTTGATTTGGAGGAACACAGACTGACATATAGTAACTGAAATAAAGAAACAACCTAAAGCTTGTTTTATTTGATTGACTTTGCAAGCTTAAAGCTGATAATCTGAGCAACTATTTAGAAAATAACAATATGCAATATAGTAATTATGGTACATTTCCTACTGTCTTATTTTTGAAATCCAATCTTGGGTTCTCACTGTTTTGTTTCATTTTATTGTGCTGCTTTACCCCATTTAAAATTAAAAAAAAAAAAAAAGAACAGAAAATGAAAAGCATAACTATTGGGGAAAGTATACCAATGGTGGTGAACCTATGGCATACATGATACAGCAGGGTCCTTGTATCATTGAAAGCTCTAAAAAGTTTGCCATCACTGATAGATACTTTGGACAGCTGGGGAGTTGTGTGGAAAACGTTGGTGGCCTTATCTCCCATCAACTACAAAAATTAATCTCCAATAAATTAAAATCTGTAAATTATCAGAAGATAATATATCCAAAGAAACTGAGGGAAAAGACAACATGGTGCAAAACAGACACAATTTTAAAAGCTCTGGTATAAGTTACACACACACAATTTAGGTACTAGCAACAAACTATGAAAAAATATTTGTAATACAGAACAGACAACAGATTAACATGCTATATAGTTACAAATCACTGAGACGTTAAAATAGACACACAACATGAATGTACCATTCTCAAAAAAAAAAAAAAAAGACCAAAAGGATTAAACACTTCAATTAAAAAATGCAATGGAACAATCAGAAAATTGTTAACTTTTAAAAATTATCTTTCATTTAACAAGTTAGGGGACAACATATTTTAATACTAAGAATATGTAGTGCTGGCCAGAAACAGACACGTTCATACCTTATTAGAAAATAAATTGATTAGGCATGGTATAGAATAATCTGGTGATAATAGTTAATTTTTGATCCTGGAGCAATACTTCTAGTAATTTTATAAGATTACTCGTATAAAAATTATACAAATCAATTTATTTGCTGCAGTACTGCAGAAGCCCAAAACTGCAATCTAAAGTTCCACCATCAAATATGGCTAACCATGGTTTACATCTGAAACCTGAATGTGTAAAGAAAAATTCAAATACATGGCATGTAAGCTGTACCTGTACACAAGGTTAATGTACCATAAGAAGTCTTGATGGATGACTAGTGAGCTCTTTACACAAAGGTCCCTTCCAGGTGTAGGAATGGGATGAGAGAAAAGGAAGCCTAAGCAACTTAGTGTCCATACTTTCATGTATTTAATCTTAAGGTCGTATTTATCAGTTAATTAAAAAAAAGAACAGATGCATCTTAGGCTCAAGTACAACAAAATATGAGACATGGGAATGAGATGCCAGGGACCAGGTTAATTTGATGGGATCTTGTAAGGCTTTAAGAACTCAGAACAAAGGCTGGGCATAGTGGCACACTCCTGTAATCCCAGCACTCAGGAGGCTGAGACAGGAAGATCGTTGCAAGTTTGAGACCAGCCTGGGCTACAAAGTGAGCCCATTTTATATATTTTCACCAACTGATCACTAGTGTACATATTAAGGGGGAGTAATATTAAAAGATACCTCACTATTTCCTCTAAGATGAGAACAGTGCACCTCTTTGACCTTGATTTAAAATAAAAATGAAATAACATGTCAGGTCAAATTATCAGCATATGATCATCTATAATACCTAGAAGTGAAGGAAATTGTTTTCCATTCAGGAAAGAAAAAATTCTTAGACACAGGACTTTGAATTGTTTGACAGTCCCTGCGTGCACACGTGTTTGTACTTGTAAGCGTGCCTTTCATACATCTATAGCTATGTGCCCAAAATTAATCCTCCTGAGCACTGTCCGCATACCATGGTACAGAATGTCTCACAGTTTGCTACTAGTATCAAAAGTTTAAAAAACAAAACAAAAAGGTAAATAAATGACCATTTTCTTGACCTTATTTCCCTTTCTAGCTATTCTATTTCTTTCCTTGAAATAATTATCCATATTCCCTCATTATATCCTCCCAATTGCTCTGAAACCAACTCCAGCTTTTCACTCCCACTTTCCTCTTGGTACACACACTAGCCTATTATAATGAAGTCTTGCCCCCATTAAAAAATCTTGACTTTGACTTTAAATGATTTCTGGATTTAATGACCAGTTTACCTGTAGCAGAGATAAAAGATAATGTTAAATGACCCTTGAGGATACATTAAGCTGGTTTTAAATGGTGAAAAACTATAGGACAAAGGAGCCAGTATCTTCAACAAATGAGTCATGAAATGGGGGGAAATGTGGTTAGGAGGGTGCCACTGATTAAAAGAAATTTAAAACATCAACCTAATGCAACATGTGGACTTTCAAGGTGATGGGAAAACAGGACACAGAGGTTCTCAGATGGTATTTAACTATCACTGGTTGAATATAATGCTGTTGCTGCGGTGTGAGTGATGTGCCTGTTTGAGACGCATAGGAATTTACAGGAGACATGACAGAAACAGCACAACACTGACAGTAATGGAAGCTAAGTGATGAACCAACAGGAATTCATTTTGCTTTCTCTTCTACTGTGATACACGTGGAATTTTTCCTAAGTTTTTTCCCTTTTTTTAAGAGTAGGAGCTACTGAAGAACTAGGACCCCAAGGAACATCCTTATCTTAGGGCTCTACATCCACCTGCAGACACCATGTTGGTGACAAAGTGCTCCTTGCCTTACAGAAAACCCCTTTGAGGGTAAAATATCTGGGGCAGGTCAAATGCTTATTCCAATTTCTAGTGAACAATGATGCTAATATGCTTAAAATTTGAGGAAGATTCATGTATTATTTTAACCTAGTTTTTAACCTAGTCTCTCAACACAAACAGTCTCACAAACTCATCCTTGGTAAAAAGGCCTGCGGGTCTTTACTTCCTCTTGTCTGCTCTGGGATGGCTCTCACATAAACAAGTACTTATTATATGTTAAACAAGACTGGGTCCCCACCCGTAGGAAGGTTGTAAGTTAGTGGACTGAATCTAAACCATCCAGCCTCAGAAATCCTTTCTGAATAGGACGAGGAGCAGCAAATAACCGACAGTACACTCACGCATACTGCGCTAGTATTTTATATGCAAGATCACACTTAATCCCCACAACAGGCCTATAAAGGACATAGTAGTAGACATGTAAATGTAAGTGTGTAATTTTTAATAAGGCGTAAAGCAGTCAAGGGACTTGTTCATGGTTATCTTGCAGGTAGTATCGCTGAGATTTGAACCTGCGGAGTCTGGCTTAAAGGCTCTCTCTAATGTATACCATTTAGCCAACCCACTGCAAATTCCAAGCCTTCCTTGCTGGAGTTCACTCATTTGAGTACCAAAGAGATCTGGACTTATTTGGCAGGCAAGGTCACTAAGACTTTCTTGGCCAACAGACCAGAAAATGCTATTCAGCACTTAGCACTGGAATGACAGAGCTTTAAGGAATTACACTGCAGCCAAACAAAGGTCATGCTGGCCCATCTCAGTGGTTCACAGATGGTGACAGTGAGCAGCAACAGGGTGGTAGGCAGAATGGGACTCTCCAGGACAGGTGGCCCTTCCTCTCTGACAATGGCAGGCACACAGCATGGTGCTGGCCAGACTGCAGAGGGCAGCACCTCCTTATGCTCCCATCCTGTGCTGAGGACATTTGCCCTGCACAGAGGTCTTTGGTGGGCTCTTACTCTGTTTGATCGGGTCTCTCCCTGCCGGCTGCCTTTACCAGTTGGAAGAAGAGCACTGACAGCTTCACAGCCCTGAATCACAGCATCACATCATACCCTAGGCCTCTTCAGTGTCCAGCTCTACAGCCCAGCTTCCAAACAGAATGCTTGGAAACCAACTGACAGGTCAGGAGTTCTTGTGGCAGTCCAGAGCTTTTCACAGTCCCCTCACTTGTGAAATGCAGATTATTTCCTGGAATGGACATTTATATACCAACCAGGCCAACAGTCCCTCTTTTCCTCTTACTGAATCCAAATCAAAGATCAAATACAGTCATATGCTCGACAATATATACAACAGCAGTCTCGTAAGATTACATCACCTGGAGACATCATACTCATCTCAGTTTGTTAAATACACTCTATGATTACCCACACAACAACAGAATCACCTCACTATGGCAAGCAGAAACACCAATCACTACCCAGTATTTGGAGACAGATTTAGTTACGTCGATGAGTACTGATTGGGATCATTACCAAAATACTTGGCCCTGATCTCTAGTGGTGTAGGGCTTATATCGGATAAGCAAGCAGGAAGTACAGAGGCAGTATGGCTTCTCAATTGAGGATTGGTTTATACAATGTACGTCATAGTGACTAGCCAGGCTGTTTCTAAAACACAGAAGCAGCTGGCATTGGAACAGGAACTATTACCTGGGTATTATTTTTCTTTGTCTTTTTCCTTTTTATCGGTACCGGGGATCGAACTCATGACAGCCTGCTTTCAAGGCAGGCGCTTATGCTGCTGAGCTAAATCCCCAACCCCTTACCTGGGGATCTTAGTTGCTTTTCTCTCATTGCTGGGACAAAATTTCTGGCACCCAAAGTGAAAAAAAGAAAGGTTTACTTAGCTCACAGTTTGTGGAGGTTTCCATCCGTAATCAGCTGGTTCCAAGGCAGGGTGGCAGGGCACTGGGGCAACAACAGTTTAAGGCAACTGAAAACAGCAAAAGCAGCAAGAGCAGCAAAACAGAGGAGAGCAAGCCTTGGCTTCTCCCTTATATTGTAAGCAAGTAACCCCCACCTAGGGTGGATGTAGCACTCATTACCATCTCTGTACCCTCTTTTTGCACAGGCTCAGGATATTTACAAAGTGAGGACCCTGGCCCCCTGCTGAGGGTTAAATTTCTAAACTTCTCAAGTTGATACAACGTATCAACAATTCCATGGGCAACTAAGAAACTGAGGTATACTGGCTGAGGAGGCCATTTTCTCTTACAACCTAACAGCCATTTCTCAGAACTTATCCCACTCTTTAAACAGCTGATGATAGCTGACCAAAACCATCTTGTTTAAAACCTGAGGAAGCTCAAAACAGGGCAGAGGCTACAGTGGTGATGCCAGCCTTATTCAGGTCCCATTAATCGATCATTTGTAGTAAAGAAGTTCCTAAAGCAACAGAGGTAAGAAAGTTAACTGTCTCCTCTCATTAGCTCCAGTACTGGTCTGTCTTCCTTCCAGGTTCCCCCTATCCTTTAGGGTTCTCCAGGGCTACAGCCTTGGGCCCACAGATCACAAAAAGAATGGCCTGGCTTCACTCAGCCCATGGTTGTCCTTATGATTTTTAAAAATCTAAACAAAGACAGAAGAAATGGTTTCTGCTCATTTCACCAGAGAAGCCTGGGGATGAGGCTCCAGCACTCTTTCTATACACCCTGGGGACTGTCTTTTAATTCCAGACTTTGTGAGGGGCTAAAATGTTAATGACTTTTCTTCAGTCATAAAGCAAATGCACACTGCACACCTTCTGGTGTCCAGGAGGACCCTTGAAGTGGAAGGAAATAAAAAGCAGAGGAGGAGGATTTGGAAATGGTTCTACACCCCTTCATCAATCTATTAACAGTTTCACCACCAGCCAGCTCTTCACTGATTTGACATGAAACGTAACAGTGACCAGCACTTTGCTCCCAGACAAGAAGCTACCCTACAGTGGTAAAGCAGGCAGCCAAGACACAGGAAGGGTTTCATTAGATAAGAAACAATCAGTCACGATACATACTTAGGATATGCATTACCGAGAAAGAAAATATGCTTGATATTCAACTCCCTGCAGCAGTTTGCCTAATAATTTCCCATTTCCAAACTCAACTTTGATGGTTTAAATAAGGCATTAAAAATTGAGAATTTTGAAAGTAAAATTATTAAAAATGTATTTAAGTTCACTGAACCCAAGATATATGAACTACTGTCAAATAATTTAAAGAGAGTCTATGATCCACACAAAAATCCACAATTTCCTATTAAACTAAATATATATAAAGTAAATATATAAAAAGTATATATATAGAGAGAGTCAACAAAAGTGTTTATCAGAAAAAAAAATTTGCATAAATATTTTCACACTAAATATATTGAGACATCATGAAATTAATACATTGCCTTTGGACCCTACAATTACAAGAGGTATTCAAAGTAGTGGCCATTAGCTTCCAGACATTTATTAGTACAATAAACTGTGTAAGTGTGTAACATGTTTTTTGAGACTCACTCTCTCTCTCTATACACACACACACACACACACACACACACATACACACACACATCACTTTTTTCCCTAATGGCAAAAGACAATCTGTATTAACAATTCAAGGCACCTTATGAATCAAATTGCTACTACTATAAAAAAATCCACATTGTAAAAAATATTTTAAAAGTTAAAAAATATTTTGATTAATCAAGTCATTGCAAAAAGTTTATCTTTTGAATCTGTTAGCCTTTATTTTATCTTTCAGCTAGTCACTTAGTTCACAGCTTTCAAAAAATAAAACAGCTCAAGTAGAGGTAAATCCACTGTGCCACAAATGATATAAAATATCTCTTACTCTCTTGAGTGGATCTCACGTCGACTTTCATACCTTTGCTCGTACCCTACCACCACTTCTCAAAGAAAATGTGTTCTTTGGGAACATGGTTGCTTTCTAGTTGCTTGGAGAAGAACTCTGTCATAGGAGGTGGGCCACAAATATAGAATAAAGTCTCATTTGAAATATGATCTTTTATCTCCTCCTCTGTTATTCTTCCTTCTACCAAAAAATAGAATAAACACCAAATTAAGCCAGAAATGGGTGTATTCTGAAATGAAGAGGGAGGAAGCACAATTCAGCAAGTGTTAATTTGCAGTGAATCAAGCCCAGTATGTCTTGAGGCTCCTTAAATGCATGGCAAGCTAACCACAATGTATTCTAGATGGAGAACTAGCTAGCTTACTAGCCTTTGATAGAGATGCAAAATTGCCTTTAGCAAAACAAATACATAAAAGTTTTCAAAACCCTTCAAAATGGGAAATGCTGAGCAACTTAAATGACTATTACTAGCAAATACAATCAATTCAATTCAAGGTTGGAATAGGAAGTTTTTGTATGCACAATATAGCAATGATGGAAAGGCCTCCTTAAAAATGCGAAAAATTTTAATATAGGCAATAGAAAGTCTTATATAATAACTATTTCCTTGTTTTTCTATGATGAATCATCTGTCAATTCCCCTGATACTGACAATCCCAGCAAGCAACTCCCAGCAGTAAAGTATATATGTTCAACCAACTGGCATGTCCTCCAAACAACTGCATGGAGATAACCAAAATACCTTTAGAGGACTCACCTGTGATATATGGCCTAAATTCTGCACTGATTTGTGTAGTCTGTTTTGTAACATGCAAACTGCATGCAATCTTCTCAGGAAATTCATTTACTAAATCGAGGATATTTTTCTGGAATATCAAACATATTTGGTCACACTACAATTTAAAAAAATCAAAACAGATGTGCCTTAACCACTGACACCGAACCTCAACTCCCATTCTGTACACGTCTGCCACTCTTACTCTCTACTTAGGGAGATATTGTTTGCAGCCTAGCAGGCCAGAGCATTTAGAGTACAAAGGGCTATTTGGCTTTAATTGAAATCTGAATATGCTAACAAGCATATTACTAACTCTCCGGGAGCTTTTTCTTTTTCCCTTTTCTCAAGCATTGGCAATTAAGCAGCAGTTTCACTGACCACAGTTGTGTCTTTTAACTGTTTCTGTTCTTTTGTTAACTTCTGCAGCTGCTAAGCAGTCTTGAGTGAAAGCCTTCTCTGTTGAATGTATTTAGTTTCAACAGATGCAACTGATGGGGGTTTCACTTATGCAGCTGGGTCTAAACTATTTGGATCTCACTGACTTCAGTGACAGATGAGCCCCCTTGTGAGTCTCTTGAGCCTTTCCAGAATCTCAGAGTCACAGTGACTTTTCTGTTCACCTAACCTCCAGATTCCATCCCACCAAAACCCATGTTATCTTCTCACTTAACTTGCAGCCTCCTCAACACTGGCAGTTTTATTTGTCCTGGGTAAGATGTGTTGGTTAATTCTCACTTGAACATGATAAAGCTTGCCAAGTCTTTTGTCTGAACCTTTGCAGAGAAATCAGAACCTAGATAAGACATTTTTTTGTGGATAACAGTATTGTACAAGTTTGTTTATAACAAACTGTAAAGCATACATTCCAGCTCTTACCTTAAACACGAGTTCACTAGTATTCTTTGCACTGTAGAATAGTTTTATTGTTCCTATCTCATATCCACTTCTTTTGTTTGCCCACTCTCGATAAACATCTGCTGCATACCGCAGGATGGAAAGCAGGGGATTAATTCCGACTCCTCCCGCAATCAACACAAGATTTCTGGGGGTATCTGTGGGTTGAGGGTCAAAGAAGAACTCTCCACCCACTCTCACAGCCACTTCAGAGTCAAGAGTACACTATGGCAGAAAAAAAAAAAAAAGGATCCTTTAGTCCTTTGTAGCACAGGTCTTAAACCAAATGTCCTACTTTAATACAACCAACTGCCTATATCTATATTTGTATTGGTATTTACTCTTTGCAGCTTGCTCTGAATTTTCTCAGGCTACTGTAAATTGATTCCACTTGTCCATTATGTCGGCCACTTTTGTGCCCCACCTTTGTGATCCTTACGGCACGTCTACTCCAGTTCTGAGGAAAGGTGACTTGCTTCAGTGATTCTGCTATTTGTTGACTTCTCAGGTAATGAAAGGAGTTGACAAAAGTAGTAGTGAACTCCAGCAGGGGACAGCTGTGGAGTAACTTTCATCAAGGCTGAGAGAAACAGGATGAGGCAAGTGTCACAACCCTGACTGCCATGCTTCCTCAGGGACGAGATGGATGATATTGGGCTCCTTCTCACTCCAAGAGCTGCAGAAAGCTGCAGAAATTTTGTGAGCTAGTATCTCCTGTGGAAATATTTACCACACAGAGATCAGCAAATGATACAAACCAGGGAACTGGCTTGCCACCTACCGTTATCTGCAATAGAGAAGACTGTCCTGATGATGACTTCTAAATGGTCCACAGATTGTTTATGTTTGGATACTGGGAATCAAACTCAGGACCTTGCACTTGGCAGGGGTGCTTATGCCATTGAGCTATATCCCCAGCCCCAATGGGTTGTTTTTGTAGGTGAAAGCTAGATTGTAATGCTCTCAGACCAGACCCTAACTTTTCATAAATGAACGCAGACTTTTTTGGGGCACACATCTAATTTGCTCTGAATTTTCTACAGCGTAACCCTGTATAGATTTACTGTGCTTGTTCAGAAATTTACCAAGCATATTTGCTGCTCTAGAAAATCATATCCAGCTGGTGGCATATGTGTCCTTCTGTCACATACAATATACATTCATCATTTGGATCAGTAGACCATGTATTCATGATGATTCTATGTGCAAGAGTAACAACCTGACAGCTTCAGTCTATCTTCTAGTTTAGATATACCCCAGATTTACTTATTGCAGTAGGCTTTGATTAGGGACTACTTTTTATTACTTTTCCTTCATCTGACACTTAAAAGAATTATTTTTTAAAGTATGTGTTTAGTTTATTAACTATGAATTCTTTCAGGATAGTTCTAGAAACAGGGCATTGGATCTGAAAGGAAGAGAACTTGTTTTGGAGAAAAACATACTGATGTAGGTATCAAAAGATTGAATTTTAATTATAAAAGAGATTACAAATAAGAGAGATCCTGTAAGTCCTTCTAACTTCTCTAAGCTTCTGCTGCCTGAAAATGGCCGCTCACCCCACTTTATGGAGTTGTTATGGGCATTAAATGACGCAGTGGAGGAAACTCCCTGCTGGTACCAGGCTTTAGGCGAGAGGGCATTTTGTTCAAAAAGAAAAAGTGCTGGGCATGCTGCTTCCTTCTTCCCTGTCACTAAAAGACAACTCAACAATAAAGAAATTGATATTACGAGCAAGATAGGCTTGTGCCATTTATTACATATTCCTAGCACAAACCAACTAAATGAACTACCTCCTAAAAATAATAACATATTACACACTTTCTGAGGACCAGCCCTTGGCATTAGCACACTGCAGGTGAATAATAAGTACTTTGAGTCACTTATTTGAGGGGCTAAACTTGAAGACAAATCAAACTTAGTGAAAAATGTAAGAAAAAATGAAAATTATCTGAATTCACAAAAATAGGTACTTTTGGTGAAGAACTATTAAAAGAATGGAAATCCTTTTTTTCTGAGGGAAAAATGCCTGAACTTAACTGTTTTAAATATGTAGGAGACTGTTACATGAATGATGCTAAGTAGGTTTTCATTTTGACAAAAGAAATTAGCAGCAAGAGAGCATTTGGTTAGGAAAAAAAAAAAAAAACTTAGAAATGGCTGCACTGGCTACCAAGTGCTTTAAAATGTTCCTTCAAGTCTTGAAAATAGAATCTAAAGACACAAGAGGCTCTGCCTAGGGATGACAATGGATATCATCTTCCTACATCCTTCCTCTAACCCTCTCTCACTTGCTTATATAAATCTCTTGTCTATAGGAATGTTAGCATAAAAGACTAAAAATGAGAATTTTCTCAAATGGCTATCTTTGACATACAGACTTAGTAAAGACAACAAAGAAAGCCCTTTGCTTCTTTTTTTTTAGACAGCAGAGTATCTTCAACCCCAAAGTTGGCAAGAAAATGTGCCCCAGGGAAGGATGATGCCCCAGAAAGCTGTATTCTCTTGAGTGATAAAATAATCCTCAGTACATCTACCTTCTGATTTGCTACCATATGGAAAGAATTGAAAGCTACCTTCGTCTTTGCTGATCAATAAAAACTGCCTGGGTAGTATGAACACAAAATTCAAGGACACACACTACATAGGATATGTAAGCAAATAAAACAACATTACCTGCAATTATGTATCAATATATCAAATCTGAGTACAGATTTTCTACTTGTGAAATAACCTTCCCACAGCAACTGAAGCTAAGCACACAATAGTTGTCTAAAAACCCTTATACTGCCAGGAGTTTGAGCCAAAGCAATGAAATAAAGGAAGACATTTATGACACTTTATTCCATGTCCCAACAGAGCAGCCTGATGCCACCTAGAAACTCATATGCCTCCATTGTCCACTCTAAAAGCTTAATAAAACAAATCCGTAGAGGAAAATAGTCACCGGAAAATGGTTCCAAGAAAAATCTGACTTTATAAAGGCTGTTTGCAACTCCCACTGGGCAGAGCAGAGCAGGCATCACAATTAGGATGTGCATTCAGGCAATGCCACTTTCAGATTTTCTACAGCCTCCAAGAGTAAGTTCCTTCATTGAAATGCCAATGAGGCATGAAACCAAGCAGGGAGCCATGGACCAGGACCAGGTCATGTCACGTGGGAGGCTAAGTACAACTGCAGAGCAGAGTATGTGTATGTGTGTGTGTACATGTGCACACTTCTGGCACTAGGAACTAGAGTGGCTGTGCTCACTTCGAATATGGAAAGGGGCACATGAGTATCTTCTTGGTCCCACCTCAATGCCATAATTTAGACTGGGAGAGCAGCCTATAGGCAGCTATGGGTTGAAAATCTACAGAGAATTTACAAAGGAATGAGAAAGCTGAGACCATACCAAAGGAGACTCAGAGGTGGGAGGATAAAATGTAACAGGATCCATTTACAATGCAAATGCCAAGGCAAGCAGGCACCTGGGGTTTTCCTGAACAGACACAGTTGACAGAAGAACATATAAGAATACGTTTTTATGTCTCTATAATGTAAAAAATTCAATTATCTTATGATTTTTTCTTTTGCATATATTTCTATAAATTTTAACATATATGTATAGACCTATGTTACTACCATCAAAATCAAGATATAGAATATTTCCACTGGACACAGTGGCATGTTCCTGTAATGCCAGCACTGTAAAAAGCTGAGGCAGGTGGATTGCAAGTTCGAGCCCATCCTGGGGACTTAGTGACACTGTCTTTATAGCTATAGACAAGGGGGCAGAGAGAGCTGAGGATGTGGCTCAGAGCAAAGTACTGTTAAAAAAAATTAAAGAAAACAAAAAGAAAAAAAGAGTCTCCACCAAAAAAAAAAAAAAAAAAAAAAAAAACAACTCGCAACTCGCTGTTGTTCCTTTGTGCTCACAGCTGTCCCTACTCTGCTCCTCATCAAGCCCTGATCTGTTTCCCATCATTACTTCTGCCTTCCAGAATGTGGCACAAATGTAATTGTACAGTATGGAACATTTTGGGACCACTTTTTTCACTAAACATGATAACTGCGAGATTCACTCAAGTTGCTGTGTGCATCGATAGTTCATCCCTCTTTATTGCTGAATCCATGAAATTATCACAGTTCATTTATCCATTCTCCTGCTGAGGAACATCTGAGTTGTTTTCAGTTTTTGATATTTACAAATAGAACTACTATAAACATTCATGTTAAGTTTTTATATGAACACAGCTTTCATTTCTCTCGGGTAAACTCAAAAATGATACTGCTCGGTCACACGCTAAGTGTATGTTTATATGAAACTAGCAAATGTTCTCCAGAATGGCTAGGGTCTATAGTCTTGCACTCCTGCTAGCAATATAAGGAAACTATGAGTTTCAGTTGCTCTACATCCTCACCAGTGCCTGAATCTGCTAGTATTTTCAATTTCAGTTATTCTAACATAGCAGGATAATATAATATGTCTCAGTATGTATTGTAGCCTGTATCTCCCTGGTGATCAATGATGGTGAATTCTCTTTTCACTATTTTTCTGCCAACCTTATACCCTTTTCGTGAAGTACCTGATACTGTGCTGTGTGTGTGTGTGTGTGTGTTGGCAGTACTGGGGATTGAACCCGAGGGTGCTCTACCACTAAGTTACTCCACAGTCTTTTTTATTCCATTTTTATTTTGAGACATGGTCTCACTAAGTTGCCCAGGCTGGCCTCAAACTTGCAATCTTCCTGTCTCAATCTCCCAAGTAGTTCGGATTACAAGTGTGCACCACTGTCCCTGGACTTTGTATATTCTTTTAAGAACTATGTTGCTTTAAAAAAAAAAAAAAAAAAAAAAAAACAATTATGTTGTCTTCTTTTGGTAGGGATTTCTTTTTGTGCTCTGAATGCAAATCCTTTATTGAGTATCTGATTTACAAATATTTTCTTCTAGTCTACAGGTTATTTTTTAGTTCTGTTAACAGTCTTACAAATGTCAGGTATTGGTACATACGCACATAATCCCAGCACTCAGGAAACTGAGGCAGGAGGATCATGGCAAGTTAGAGGCCAGCCTGCAATACACAGCAAAAGCCAAACAAATAAAAAAACTCCAAAAACATGGTCTCACAGGGAAAGCTTTTTGACCAAGTCCTATATATCATTTTTTTCTTTTATAGATCTTAGTTTCAGAATCACACCTAATAACTTTTTGCATATCAAGTTCCATCTATCTGCTTTTTCTAGAATTTTCAGTTTCATTGCATTTCAAGTTAATTCTGAATATAAAATATGAGGTTTAGGTTAAAGTTCCTTTCTTTTATTGTATATAGGTGTACAACTGTATTAGCACTATTTGTTGAAAATGCTAGCCTTTTCCAGAGTTTCTTTAGCATCTTTGCCAAAAATAAAATGGTCATATCTGTGTCAGTCTACTTCTAAATGCTGTAAATGCTTCTATATCCATTTATGTGAGTCTATTCCTTTCACTAATATCCCACTATTTGATAACTGTGCTTTACTTAAATCTTAAATTTGAATGTGATTCCTCATTTTTATTTTTCAAAATCATTTTAACTATTTTAGTATCTTTTCCTTTCCATATAAACTTTTAAATTCCTTGTCTATAGCTATAAAAAAATTTTGATTATAAATCAAAGACTTGCTTTTTTAACTGTCTTGAGTCTCTCAATTCATTAACACAGTTAACTTTTTACTTATATCTTAAGTTTTTTTACGAAATTGAGATAAACTGATTTTTTTAAGAGACCAACTTCTTAGAAGACGGTCCTATATTAAGGAATGGACCCAAAGAGTATCCTAAGGTAGCTGGTTTTCACAACACAAAAGCCCTCTCAACCACTTCAAGAGCATGGCAGCTCCTATAAATATGGCCTGCCTTCTTTGTGGGCCCTCTCTCCTGCTGAACCAAACTGCGCCCATGTGGGACTTCTACAGCTGCTAAATTCAACCATATTTCCACACTTTTTTCTGCAAACAAACACTTTTTTGTGTGTGTGTTCTCTGAGATCTACTGCTACTGTCATCTTGTTCTCTTTCTTCTACTTATTCCCATGTCTCCTATATAAACACAATTCTCTACAACCTTTAAAAGACACTAGATAGAGTATGTTTCCAAGTTCTGCTGAAAATAAAGTTTTGTTTTTATTTTTGTCTTCATTTTTTGACTTGCAGTGATTTCTAGACAAAGGACACAATGCTGAATTTCTGAAGCCATACTTATAACTAGTACATTTCTTTTTGGTAAAGGAAATAAGAAGATACTTTTAAAGTGATGGGGGTTGTTGGTACATGGAAGACACACTAGTAATAAAAACCATTAATGAAAAGAAGGCCATGGTCAAAAACTAAGATGGTAAATTAATTTATATGAGCATATTTTCATTATCAGAGTACTTGTTGGTATTGACCGTCAGATTATGTAGGATTTGTGCTGAGCCCTGTAATAAAGCTTTGAGTTATTAGCACTAAATTTGTATTCTCTCTCAGATAAAGAGATAAACATCTTACATAAAGAGTTAACAAGATTCAAGAACACTATAGAGTTATATGTACTCATCTCTGGGCGCCAGCAGTATTATGTAATCAGAAATGTTTTCCCCTCCAAATAATGGACAGAATGTTATTTTCTTTACTTATGACAATCACACTAAAATAATTCAATTTACCTTTTATATAAAAACAAAGCCAAGTTTCAAAAACTTAACATAAATGTTTAATTCTCACAAAGTATTCTACTGAACACTGACAAAATATTTCCAAATCCCAGTCCTTCTGAGCCATACTTAATGTATCAAAAAGCTTCTGTTTCTTTACCTTTTCTGGGAAGCTCTGTGTGAACATTTACCTTTCATACTCAATACCAGGTTTTTTTAGGTGGATCAAATGAGCCAAACAGAAATCTTGCAGGAGGCAAAGCCAAATCTCTAGGTTTACAATGGTAGTTGTTTACCTCATTGTGAACCCAGAGAGCAGGAGGGTGGTTTGTATATTTCACTGCCAATTCTATTACTCTCTCTTGTTTTAGAAGTCTGGGACTGGAACACATTGAAAACCCACCAACCACAGAGACTCCTGGGATGAAGAAATCGACCCTAAAAGGAGAGGCAAATAAATCATTACTGTTAAAAGTAATTTTAAAATAGGAAACAAGGTAAGCAAAATTGACAAAACTGTAGAGGAAGAAAAAAGAAAAATTACTAACATTAAGAACAGAAAAGGGGCCATTATCACCAACCTTACAAAAATAAACAGTTTTATGAACTGTATACCAAAAATTAGTTACACAAAAGTGTATATATTCCTAAAAAGATATATACTACCCACTGTGACTCAAGAAGAAGCAGAAAATATAAACAGATCCCCAAGAAACTAAAGGGTTAAATTAATAATTTTAAACTCCCACAAACAAAAGCTCAGGTCCAGATGACATCATTGGTGAAAACATTTAAAGAATGCTTATCCTTTGCAAACTTCCAAAAACTGAAAAAAAAACTTTTTAATTCATTTAATAAGACCAGTACTACCTTGATATCAAAACCCGGCAAGGACATTGTAAGGAAACTATGGACCAATTTCCTTTCTGAACAAAGACACAAAAATCCCAGGAATACAAGGTTAGTTTAACATATGAAAATCAATCAATACGATATTAGTAGAATACAAAATAAAATTCACATGAACATTTTACTAGGCAGAAAAGGAATTCATTAAAATACAACATTCTTTCATCATAAAAACACTCAAGAAGACAAATAAATGAGAACTTCTTTAACACAATAAGGAATATCTACAAAAGACCCACAGCTGACATCAAACTTAATGGCAAAAGGCTAAATATTTCCTCCCTGGAACAAGACAAAGGTGTCTATTCTGTCCACTTCTACTCGACACTGTACTAGGTTCTAGCCAGTGAAAGCAACAAGGTCAAGTAAAACACATTCTGATTGGTGCAGGACAGGCACTAGTTCATACACAGAAAATCCAAAGGAATTCACTGAAAAGATATTAATAAGCAAGCTCAAGATTGCAGGACACAAGATTAGTGTACCAAACTCAACAATATTTCTCTATACCAGCAGTGAAAACTCCAAATGTGAAATTTAGAAACACTTCCTTTTAAAATAGCATAAAAAGAACACAATTTTTTTAAAAAGTGTAAGACGCATACTCTGAAATTTAAAAACATGGTCAGAAAAAATTAAAGGTCCAAATAAATGGAAAGATATCCCATGTTCACAAACTGTAAGACTTAAGTGACAATATTATTCAAATTTATCTACTGACTCAATACAACATTAGCTGATTTTTTTGTACAAACTGACAACTCCGTCAAAAAGTTCACACGGGAAATTGAAGGAAGCCAGAATCTTGTAAAAACATAAATTTGGAAACCTTATCTCCTGATTTCAAAGTTATTAAAAAGCTAGAGTAATGAAGACACTGTGGTACTGGCACAATATAAGACAGACTTATACATAAAAATAACTATAAGTCCAGAAATAAATTCTTAAGTTTATGGGACATTGATTTTTGACCAAGATGCCAAGATAGTTTATCAGCAAACAGTACTAGGAAAACTGAATATCTACATGCAAAATAGTGAAGTTAGATCCATACCTTTTATCATATATAAAAATTAAGTAAAACTGAACATGAATTTAAATAAGGGCCAAAACAATAAATTCCTAGAAGAAAACACTATGTAATAGTCTTTTAGATATGACATCAAATCACAAATCTTATACATTTCTGGCCAAATAATATAGCCACTTTAGGATGTAAATTAGATGTTAAACAGGGTTATCAGATGGCTCAAAATGCCACTCCTTTTTTAGCCAGAAGAAATTATATGTCCACCCAATAACTTGAATACTAGTGTTCATAGCAGCATTATTCATGGTGGCCCCAAAGTGGAAAGATTCTGAGATGTCCACAAATTGCTGAATGGATAAACAAATACAGTATAGCCATACAATGGAATGAAGTAATGATAGGTGCTTCCACACAACATGCCTTGAAATTAAGTAAACGAAGCTAGAAAGAGTAGTCAAAAATAGACCACATACTATATGACTCCAGTTTATATAAAATATCCAGAATGGGTAAATCCAAAGAGACAGACAGAGGATCAGTAGTTGTCTATGGGGCAGAAGGATGGGGAGGGAATGGTAACTGGTATAGATTTCTTCATTGGATAATTAAAAGGTCCTAAAATTTGGATTATGATGGTGGTTGCACAACTGAGTAAAATAAAATCTAGTAAATCGAAGATTTTAAGTAAATTTTACATGTAAATTATATCTCAGTAAAATTATTCTTTTTTAAAAACAATGGCAACTTCCAGGCATGGTGGTGCATACCTATAATCGCAGCACTTAGGAGGCTGAGGAAGACGGATCACCATGAGTACGAGACCAGCTGAGGCTACCACAGTGAGTTTAACGACAGTCTAAACTACCTATTTGGGTCCTGTCTCAACCAAACCAAACCAAACCAAACCAAACCAAACCAAACCAAACCAAACCAAATCAAACCAAATCAAACCAAGGGCAACAAAGAGTCTTTCACTGGTATTTGCCAAACTTAAACAGGCTAAAGTGGCCTTATGAGTTTTGAAAGATTTATATTCCTTTCTTTTCTTTTAATTGCATTCTTAATACTCTAGAACTGTCCCACGTTTTAAGAAATTCTATACCACAGGATCCTTTTTTTCTTGGTAGAGGGCAATGCAGCAACCCTGGACATACATCAAGGAAAGAAAAATTTATTGCAAAACTTGGCTCCACAAAACAGTTCTCAACCCCATATCTAAGAAATGTAACACAAAGAAGCAAACAGTGTCTCTCTCCAGTTGCTGCCTTACATGCAGACTTCTCTAAAAAAAAACAAGATACACTGTCCTCTATACACTGTCCCCTAATCTAGTCTTCAATATTTGCCTATTATTGTAGTCTTTAAAAAACAGCTCTGGATTGGAAGTGCTCTAGGAAAGCCCCCTAGCTTACTCCCAACCCACTTTCACTGTACTCTTACCCTTGAATAACAACTTACCTTTTATTTTAGAGAAGTCAAAAATTTATTAATACTGTTGCTATCAAGAGACACAGAACATCTACTATTTCCATGTTTGAAAAGCAGATCAGAGAGCTATTTTTGTTTCAACATCTCCTGAACTACAGCGCCCTCTCCTGTGCAATGCTGATAAAGATCTTCTCAAATAAGTGAAAGGAACCTTCTTTCCCAGTATAACTGTGAAAAGTCACCTTCAGAATAAACAACTTCTTGATACAGAAAAACTCAAATTGTACTAAAAGCCCCATCTGAACAGATTTTTAAAAAACAGAAATGTAGTCATCTTTTTAAAAAATCGAACAAATTAAATTTGTGAACCCACATACCTCTTTAATGGGAGGAAAATCAGCACATACATAACAGTCAAAATCTATAATAATATCTGCTTACTTTAGGAAGACAGACATAGGAAATAACAACTACTTGTAGCAAGAGTGGAGAAGCTAAGACTTCACAGAGCACATGTTGCTTAAACCAAGTTTTAAATGACACAATGCAATGGAAGACAGGATCTGAGCAAAGGGCCAATGAATGCAGTGCCATCTATTATGTGATTGTAAATCAGGGCTGCTGCTGCATGCGGCTATGTAGGTTGCACATTGTTCAATACAGGGAGGCTTTGAAATAGGCATAGAGTCTTATTTCTCTAATCTTGCTTTCTTTATCTGCTTCACTGAGAAAACATCTTGGCCATGCTTCCCCTCAGGTGGTATCTTCTGTTCAAACAGCATGAAGTAAGTATGGTACAGTGTCAGGGGCATCACAGTGGCACATTCACCTACTTCACCTTGGCCTGCCACGCTTCCAACCAGCAGCTTCACTGCATACAAACTGACCATAAAGCTAAGAACTGAACTTGTGCCCTGGGTCTCCCCAGCCCAGAGAAACTATCTGACTGGGTGAATTGCTAATGATAACCAAAGAAATAGTTAATAGGCACTGTGCTAAACACTTTATCACCAAACATCAGAATACTACTGCTCCCTATGTAATGAGTTGAAAACTGATGCCCAGAGAGATGCAGCAGCTGTCCCTAGGACAGACAGAATCACAAGCATGTGAGCCAGGTAGTCTACAGAAATACGACGCTGTTCAGCCTCACGCCTGCGGTGGATTCTACCCACAGCAGTGTAGCCATTGCAGGAGACAGGCAATGAGTGCCACTCTGGAAGAGGGCAGCTGTACCCAGCTTAACTATTGATGGCACACTCTTCCCACCTCTAGGGAAAAGAAATTTTGACAAGGTAAAGAGCAGGCCTCTCTGAAGAACTAACTGCTAAACAAGCAGTATGCCCACCAGTGAGAAGAACCCAAGGTTTTGGCCTGCTCATGTGATATTTTCTAAGGGGGTTTCCTCTTAGATCTTTTTCTGTGGGTTTGACTGCTAAAGTTCCAGGAACTGGCTTCCAGGTACAGAAACCAATCCCCTGGACAGTGGCCAGTGAGACTACAGTGCAGTGCAGTGCAGCAAGGGTCCCTGTGACTCATCCAGGCTTGTGTGGAAGAGTCTACCTGTGGAGCTGCAGTCAGGTCTCCAACCGGCTACAGAAGCATTCTTTTATTTACTTACTGTTGGGTCTGGAACCTCATCCTGAATGTCTGACAGATGTCAGAGAAGTCAGAGATGTGTAACTGTGGCCCCAATCCTAGAGACGACATTAAGAGCAATCCTCACCTTTATGAACAGTGGCTCTTGCTCTGATAACCCCAGCTATACAGACTGCACAGCAGGTATTTCCTAACTCTCTTCTCTAAAGTGTCAAAGGTTACTACCAAGCTACTGATACAGGATCACAGCCATCCTAGCAACAGTACAGAATAATTAGACATCACCAATCTAAGTAAAATGACCATCCTCTAACTATAAAGTCAAGTATTCAAAGGAACATACAACCTCTAGAGCTAGATAATAAGTCAACAGTAAGAATGCAATCTTTTAGAGGGGGAGGAATAAGTGCTGACCTACACTAGCAGAAAAAGGGTACTGCTAATCAACTAATCACCACCACTCCCACTCTTGCTTCCAGAGTCAGACACATACAAAAACCAGTCCTCAAATCAGTGACAAGACCAAATCCATTCACTGGGATGACGTGCACAACAACTGCTAATACAAGTGCTTGCAGGCACATTGTGGTGACAGTAGTGTAACCAACACCCAGGCTTTGTCTGTACAGGAGACTGGGTCTAAGTCTCAGCAGAATTCAGAGTTGAATGCAGAGATAATACTGTACATAGGACACAAACAATTCCACAGAAGGGAAATGTGGAAAAACAGATCATTACAATTAAAGTTTCCACTTTTCAATGTAATAACTGCTAAACCACTTTTGAAGGGTAAATATGTTGCTCACCCCCTAAAACTGCCAAAATACATTTAATATTTATCACTGAACATGTGCAAAAATTACAGTAAATTGCTTCGCAAACGCAAATTATTGCAATCAGCATCTTGTTTTCTAGTTCCAAATTCAAAGCAAACTATTAACACAAGACTGCTAACTCTTGCTATTATCACACTTGCTATTATCACACATCCTCCTTCTAACAAAACCACATTTCCAGATGGACTGCCAAAATTAGTCAAGTGACTCCTACCAAGACTGACAAGCCAGAAATTCACTTAGAAATGAATGCTTCATTTAAATAAAGAACACACACACCCAAACACACCTTTCCTTAGGAAATACAAGTTGCTTTATTTACAATTCAACTTGAATTGCAGCTCAGTGAGGCCATTCGGAGAAATAGTGGGACAGCTGGGCTGTTAGCCTGTCAGCATACTGATTAGTCCTCAGAGTCAAATGGAACAGACTTATAGTGCATGTGTGCATGTGTGTGTGGGGGGGGGGGGAGGACTGACTGGGGAATCCTGATAATAAATTAAGCAAAATATTTAAATTCAACCCAGAAAGCTCAGTGATACAGGAATTCCATTGAGAGGATGGTCAGCCCTGTCTGACATAATGGGTTAATCTTTTCAGACTACTTTGTCTACTCTATATTAGATACAAGGAGGACTAATTTTTAGAAATGTATAAATCCCCAGCAATGAATAAGCCAAGCAGATTAGATTATTACAGGGCATTCTATTAGCAAACATGCCTGCAGAACATAATTATCAGTGTCATTGGTTCCCAGCATTAACTGCTTTTGCTTGAAATTGGAAGACTTGAAAAAGTTTTCATATATGACTGAAAGAGGGGGTCATAGGCTCAAGACCAAGAAGGAATCAGCTTTTTCATGTTAAAGAAGGCCTAATGAACAGAAATGATCTAAACTGACTCTCTTCCTGGGGAACAGCTAGCCACAAAGTTCTCCCCAAAAGATAATACACAGTTATCCCTTCTATTTGATATCATCTTCTAAAATATACACCCTTGGAAAACAGAAAAGCCACTTACCACTGGCCAGCTTTAAAAGAAAATTCTTTATCAGTAACAAACAAGCGGAGGCTCTTCACTGACGGTGATTCGCGGGTAATTCCACACACCTTAGCGGCTGCCACGACCTAAAGGGAGAGAGAACTGTGGCTTAGGATAGTGTGTACAGAGCAGAGGCACAAATGATGGCTTTCTGGGAACTAAGGGTTTTTTTGAAATCCAGAAAGATGTAGTTTTTTGAAATTTACCAAACAAGGTAAAGCACACTTTGCTTTTTAATTCTACTATCAAGTAAATATATATATATATATATATATATATATATATATATATATATATTTTTTTTTTTTTTTTTTTTTTTTTTTTTTTAAACCAGTACTGGGGATCGAACTCACGACCGCCTGCTTACAAGGCAAGTACTTATGCTGCTGAGCTAAATCCCCAGCCCCCAAGTAAGCATATTTTAATGACATCTTTTTGAGAAACTTGCTAATCTTTTTCTGCATACAAAAATCATTTCTGGGTCAGGGATATAGCTCAGCGGTACAGAGCTTGACTGGTAAGCACAAGGTACTGAGTTCAATTCCTGGTACAACAACAAAAAAGAATATTCTCTTACAGGGACTAACCAGTATTTATGGAAGAAGTGTTATCGTTTATATCTAAATGTTCCCCCAAAGCCTCATGCAGTCACTGGTGGGGCTTTTTCACAGGTGGCTGAATTTAGAGGGTGGAACTCATTCATGGCACAATGCTAGGATTCAGAGAGAGTGATTACTAAATCAGTCTACTGATTGGTACTTCCCTAATCCTGGTAGACTAGATACAATGTAAGGAACCTTCTGCCTGCCATGAACTGTTTCTTCTCTGCCATGCCACCTTGCCTTGGAGTTAGCAAATTATGGATGGAAATCTTTACAAACTGTAAGCTAAATAAGCCTTTTCCCTTTTAACTTTGGGTACTGGGTATTTTGTCTCAGCAATGAGAGGAAAGTGACTAAGACACTGCAATGCACTGGATTGGGCACTCTGTAACAGAGCTCAGGGGACTGAAATAGGGGACTGGAAACTGTAAACAGACCTGCATGGCATCAAATGTCCATGGGTGCCAGCAAAGCAAGGCCTACTGTGTACTTCTCAGTGTGTAAGGAGCTCATTTTGGAAATTAAAAGCAATTGAAACTATTTTTAGTAATTTTACAGACCAACTGTGTGTCTATTAAATCTTAATAGTAGAAAAACTGGGTTTATATTCATGTCTTTTACTATACTTTACAAAATACAAACAATTCACAACCTTAAAAAAAAGAACAACCAAAGTGCAGCTCTTCCCTACCAATAGTCCAAGAGATATACTCTAAATGGCACACGTAATTTCTACCTCAGCATCCCTCATATTCAAAACCTCTCTACTTCATTCTTCTTCTGTCTTGTACTTCTCTTCCTCCTCTAAACCTGGGACATCTTTACAAGTGCAGAAGAAAGAACGGGACTCTTTCCTTAACCTTTTACTTTTTTGATCTGCTCCACTCATGACAGCAAATCAAATCCAGAGCAACTGACCAAGAGCAACTGACCAAAGTATGAGGTGGCAGTGGAAATTTTTGAAAGTCAATGAACCTTCCACCCCAATGCGAGCTCATTCTGGCCCCTCCTCCAAAAGTCTACTAGATTTAATCAAACTATCAGTAAAAGATTATTTTCAAAAATCCACCAGAATAATTCTCATGATGGATAGTGGTCTTCAGCCTTCATCTCAAGTAGCTTCTAAAACTGCCTACTTTGGGGCTGGGGATTTAGCTCAGCAGCATAAGCACCTGCTTTGCAAGCAAGTGGTCACGAGTTCGATCCCCAGTACTGATAATAAAAATAAAATAAAACTGCCTAATTTCATCCAACCCAAAAAGGGGCATCTGAGATGCATACACACTTCTCAGATGAATAAATACAAACAGCAAATAAGCATGTGAAAAAAAGTTCAACATCACTAGTCATTCAAAAGATACAAACTAAAACAACACTAAGATTCCACCTCATCCCAGAAAGAATGGCTAGTATTAAGAAATCAACCAGCAACAAATGCTGGAGAGGCTGTGGGAAAAAAGGAATCCTTCCCATTGTTGGAAGGAATGCAGATTGGTGCGACCACTGTGGAAATCAGTGTGGAGATTCCTCAAAAAACTAGAACTAGGAACCAGCGGCCTGGCCATGTTGGGATTTAGGCGGCTGCACAAGAAAAGCAATTTACCCACCCTCTTGGTAAGTGCTCCCGGTGCTGGCTGGGAGGAGAACCAGTCAGCTGTTCCCATGAGCCGGTAGGCGCCTACCGGTGCATGAGCTGAGAATCAAACATCCCTTCCAACCCAGGTCAGCAACTGAGGACAGAGGTCTGAGCATCTCTTGGGAGGATGACCATATGCAATTAGGAAATGTGGGGGATTTCCTTCTATGTTCTGTTTGAAGGCAAAGGTTATTTTCACTGTTATGCTTTATAATGATTGTTTGCTATATTCAATATTCTCCTTCAATTGGTTTTACAATGTTCTGTTATTGGTTTGATTTCGCTATACCTAGTTGACTGGACAACTATTGTGAAGATAATGACATATACTATAGTACCTATTACTGCTATCCCAGCATCCTGCTTTGAAGTTCTGTACCAGTGTCACTACATTGTCTCAATTGGCTTTGTTCTGTCTTGTTCTGTTGTATTTTTATTACATTCAAAATAAAATTTAAAAAAATAAAAATAAACTAGAACTAGAGGTTCCATTCAACACAGCTATTCCCCTTCTGAGTATCTTTCCAAAAGAATTAAAAATATCATACCATAGCAATATATGTGCACCCATGCTTATAGCAGCAGAATTTGTAATAGCCAGATATTGGAAATAACCCAAATGCCCATCAACTGAGGAATGGATAAAAAATATGTAGTATTTTTATACAATGGAGACTTTTATAGGTAAACAGATGCAACTTGAGACCATACTCATTAGTAAAATAAAACACACATGTGTAAACATAGTATAGTTTCATTAGTGTGAGAAGCTGAAACAACATGTATATAGAAAGATGGTTTAAAAACTGTCTACTTTCTATTTCACCTGCAAAATTTCTTATCGCTGTATGTCTCAGTAGTATCAACTGCCAATCTTCTCTTTTTCCTCTCAGACAGCAAGTGGGCAATTTTTCACCCTCTATCTGCACTTTTGATTCTAGTTCCAGCCCCTACGGAACACTACTCTATCAGCAACCACCAGGGCTTTCCTTCATGTACAATTGTTCTCTTTCTAAAACCCTCCTGTTTCATCAGACAAATGCCACTGGTTTAGCCTAAACAATTTAGCCACAAAATAAAAGCAGCACCAGAATATACGGCTGTTAGCGGGTTATACAGCTAGATTGCCTAGTATTTCATCCTGGCTCTATCACTTATAAGCTGTATGACTCTGGCCAAATTACCTAGCTCCTCTCAGCCAGAGAATGAAAATGACAACATCTTTAAATTCACAGGACTATTGCAAGGATTAACTGAAATATACACAAGAGCAAATTTTAATGCTGCTGGTCCATGGTAAATATTAAGTGTTAGTTATGTGTTTTTTTTCAGATTAGAATTATTTGTTTCTGTTTTACATTGTATCATACACTTTACTAATAATATATATTTTGTCCCAGCACTAGTGCTGCTGCACAGGACCTGGAGGGATGGCACAGCACAGCCCCTGGGGGACTTTGCTTGCATGGATGACAAGGAACGCCACAGCACACCCCATCCTGTAGATTCACACTGGGAGTGAAAATTTAAAAGCCATACTACCTTTAAGCTTTTTAAAAATGTTACCTTCTACCCTTTCCTCTACTGAATAGATTAACAATTTCTTAGCCTAGAGAATCTTCTTTTCCTTGATCTCTCCTGAATCACCAATTACCTGGCTTCTGCTATCCTGAAGCTCCTTCCCAGGATGGTTGATTCCTGGATGTATTCTTGAAGAACCATACTCAGTGTCTAGTCTCAGTACGCACTCTGCCTAGTCTCTCTGAATTTGGTACTTTCCATCCAGAGGTGCTCTCTTTGCCCAGGATGGCTAACACTGAACTCTTCAGGGCCTCTCTTATATGTTCTCTTCATTTACCATTCCTTCTCCCACTTCCCCACTAAGAACTGCCTTACCCTCACCACCAGGCTGAGGCCCTCACCATTCCCGAGGCCTCCACCTGCCAAGGAGTATTCATCATTAGTTTGCTTACAACCCCAGGCTCATATCTCACATCTCTACTCCCTATAGGTAACAACAGCCAATGGCCAAGGAGTCTTTATCTCAGATGTATGGCAGGTGCTTCATGCAATGTTTCATATGCACTAATTCATTCTGTTAGTATGAATAATCATTTTACATCTTGAGACAGTGCTTCACTTACAGATGAGGAAACTGAAAGGTTCAATACTTGCTCAAGATTACTTAGATGGGAGCTAGGTATGGTGATGCACACTGTCATTCCAGCACCCTGAAAGGATGAGGCAGAAGGATTCACAAGTTTGAACCCAGACTGGTCAACTTACTGAGATCCTGTTTCATAACAAAAAATAAAAACATAACAAAATATAAAAAGGCCCTGAGTTCAAATCTCAGTACCAGCACAAAAAATAAATAAATAAAGGGAAGAAAAGGAAATGAAAGAAAGAGAAGAGGAAAAAAGAGAAAGAACAAACAAGGAACTTCTGAGTCAGGATTCAAATCCAGGTTACGCTGGTCCCTAATCATCCGTTGGCACTATACCAATGGTGAACATCTCTTATGTGCAAAATTAAATCCACCAGATTCTTGCACAGTTCAGACTTGTACAGGGTGCTTTGAACTGAGAAACAGGAAAAGCAAAAATAGAGACTACTGCCCCATTTCCCAAGCCCTGCAAAATTGGCTTCTCTTCAGCAGGGTTTCAATCTGGACCCCTCCTGGCATAAATTTGGTCAAATACATTTTCAGTTGATATACAAACACACAAACTTTGACCCTTTCTAACATTCTGTCCCTAACTGAATGCAGCCTGCCTTCTCCTTCCCTTGATCATCTTCACAACCCTAGCCCAGAATTCCCTATTTTTCATGTGAATTGCTGTACGAC